TGAAAATCAGGTCGAGCATGTGTCCCCCATTATGAGTGGGGTCTTGAATTAACTGAGTTAGGTTGATAGCCATCATGGAAGCCATGAACTCCTGAGCTGACTTAGATATCTCACCAATGGAAGGCAGATTGAAATCCCCCAGGATCATCAGCCTGGGGAAATCAACCGCCAATCTAGCTAACACATCCAGCAGCTCCGGTAGGGCCAATGAAACATAGCAGGGAGACAGGTACATAACAAAAAGGCCCACCTGAACTCCAAGGCCTCATCTCACAAAAAGGGACTCACACCTGCCTATCTGAAGCACAGTGACCTCCTGAGGTCTGAGACTTTTCCTAATAACCACCGCTACCGCCACCCCCCCTGCCCCTGCACTGGGCTCTCAGCTGGTGAAATGCCCGGAAGCCTGCTTATGTTTGATATTGCAGTATTTGCATCTTTTAATGCTTATGCTAGCTGTTTCTTTGGAACAAGCTTCAAGGCAGGCAGCCTTATTCTGAGGTTTTTATGCTGTTTTAGATACTCAGTTATTCTTTATTTCAGTTCTTTTACTTATTTCGTTACAGGATTTTGTTCTTCCTGTGGCAGAGGAGTGGGTGCCTGGTTTCTAAATGAAAACAATTGTATATCTCTGTTGGATTTTTCTACTACCAACTTTCCCTGGTTTGCCTCTACATTCTGAATTATTTTTGGCAAGGCTTTGATTTCTTTGCTGTGGTTGAATCTTTGCAGTTCTTCCAATTCTGCTTCTGTGAATACATTATTTTGTATTATAAATCGATGTTGATCCACTAGCCTCTGTTCTGTTATTTCTGATTCTGGATGTTGTTCTTTCCAAAACTGGTGCATTCTTTTCAAATATCCTCTTCTTGTTGGGCTTGCTTTGTAATAACAGATAATTATTTCTTTATTTTCAATCACTATATATTTGTATACTTATTTGTATAGTAGTAGTAGTACTGGTAGTAGTAGTAGCAACAGCAGCAGCAGCAGTTATTGTTATATCAATCTATTTTTTACTGGTGGTAACAGAGCAGACTTCACATTTGAAACTTATGAAGTTACTGTTGACTGAATTAAGAAACTATTTTTCCAGCATTGAAGAACATTAAATAATCATTTTTTGCCTCTTTTTTCATTGTTCATGTTGGATGTTTGTTTTTCTGTTTTTTATTTTATTCTTTTTGACAAATGAAAATAATTATGTTTTTAAAAAAAGATTATTTTTCCAGTGGTGAAAAACTTAAATAATCATATTTTGCCTTGTACTACAAAACAGTTTGAAGATGATATTTTGGATTGCTGTATCTATCTTCTGGACAAGAGTCAGCTCAAGGCGAGTGCTAAAAAGGATCCGGTGATCATTTCCAGGGTCATGTCAGCTTTGGTATGTCATTAAAAATGCTTTATGCTAATCTGTGAATTGTAAATCACAAAACAGAAATCAGTAAAACTAATCTTCCCATCAATCTGAACTTTAACCTAGAAGTGTAAATCTGGTGCCTGACTGATATTTTAGCCTACAACTCTTGGATTCACCTCCCTATGGCTCTATTAACTGGGGCAGAGAATCGAAGTTCAAAGTATCTGCAGGTAACCCATAGCATACTAGTTTTATAGTCTCTGGTGCTCACTATTACCCAAAATTGGTGATGTGTTTACTTGAAGTGGGAAAATATAAAACCTATAAGAGAACAGTATAGTTTTACATTTTTTTCTATTAGCTGAGCTTGAAGAGGAAATTTCCCTTGGCAGAATTTTCATGAATCTCATCTGGTTCAAATAGGAGGAGGAAAAGGAGACAGATCCACACTGCATGATTCCACCAGAAAAGGCCAGTTTTTTAACCTTTATTGTTAAGTTTCTTTAAAAACTTATTAATAAAGTGGTAGTGGAGGATAGCAAATAGTAACCCAAACAAAGCAAGCATCCACTTTAGTAGTCAATAGGAATGTATAGGGTTCCGTGGGAGGGGCTTACTGATGGAAGCAGCTTAATATAGCTGCTCCCAAATTCCTGGTCGCATTATCTGTCAGACGATCATCTATCGGACGTCTGGCAGTTTGTTTACCTTACTCTTCAGGCAAGAGGAGGAGGTGAGCGGGTTCTGTTGAACAAAATGCCATCTGATCCTTGCAGTTTGTGTGTCTGCAAGGAGAGGGGGGCCAGCTGAGAGCAGAACTATCTCTGTGCCGGGGAATTCCAGCTGCATTTGCAGCATGAAGTAAGCTCTCCCTTTCTCAGAACAAAGCTTGATTTATTGATTTCAAGGCGAGCAGGACTCATATGCAAGAACCTTAATTGTTTATTCAAATCTTAGCTTCATTTTTACAAGACCTTCTTCCGATAACCTAGCTAGCTAAGAGACACTTAAAATGGCGACGAGCTTGCTGAATTGCTTCGTAACAATGTTTACCTTTTGAAACTCATCGTAAAGCCCTACTGAGTTTTAAAACCTCAAAGGAAAGGAGTGATTTATTACCTCGCTCCACAGTTGTATAACTGGCCAGCAGAGTTTTACTAATTGGGTGAAGATAACACTTGGAATGGCCTCTAAACCAAATGTTAATTTAAAGATGTCTCTCTCGGCTCCCAGAAGCTCTAGCACATCGCCCATACCTGGCACAAAGTTGCAGCCTCCGCTCTCTATGCCCCCTATAGATGGCCCACTAACGAAATAATTCTTTTTGAAGGAACTGAATGAGTCTTTTAACACTCAGACAATAAAGGTGGAAGCCAAATT